TTTAGGTAAAATTTGTAAAATAAAAAAAAAAAAAGGATGTTCTTCCAAAGGAAAAAAAATTGAGGAAATAAATAGATAATGGTAAAGCTGCGGATTTTTTTTTTTTTAAAAAAAAAGAAGAAAAGAAGTTTTTGTTAAGGGATTTTTTAATAGATAAATTTTATCAACTTTGTAGATAAACTTTTTTACAGTACAGATATCGTTAGCGCACTTCTCTTTTCGTTTGTTGTTTATAACACAAAAAAAAAAAAAAAACCTACTCAAAGACTTGAAAAATGAAAAAAAAAGAGGGTATTGTTTATATATATATATATATATTTTTGTTAAAAAAAAGCGTTCAAAATTCAACTTGATTTAAAATAAATTTTGTTGTTATGATGAAGGTAAACTATAAAATAAAATATAGTATAGATGAAATTTTAAAAAATGTCAAAGTTCCAAAAAAAAAAATTTCTTAAATGTTCTTTTTTTGAGGATTTTTATAGTATCAAACTATATAAAATAAAAGGTTGAAACGGATTATAATACAACTTTTTTTTGTTTGTTACATATATACCAAATTTTTTATTATTTTTTTTTAAAGGTGATACATTTTTTCTTCCAGATATATTTAGACATTTATATGTAGTGTAGTGTATTTGAAGCTCCCTGATCTTCCCGCAGAAATTATTGAAATAATTTATATTAAATTTCACGTGGATTCTTGAAAACTTTAATTCCAATTTCTCTTGTTTAAGGAACTTTTTTCTCTCTCAAAAATATTAAAATATTTAGAGTTTTTGTGTAGTACTAAATGAAATGCCTGGGTAATTGAACCTATCAAAAATTCGAATTAAAGAACATATAATATCTATAATATCCGGGGTATAAACGACACCGATTATAAAACTACCTTCTCTTTTTACGAGTTTTTTTTTGAGTTTGATTTCATCACTTATCATTTTTAGGTTTAAATGATAAATCATGTGACAATTCTGTTAATGAGTCTTTTGATCTAAGAATAGAAAAATAGTCTCCACATTTTTCATAGTCAAACAAACATTTCATATAATTTATTGAACTGTACAACAAATGAATATATCATAATAAATTGGATCTTCCCTTTTTGGTTGACAGTGCGTTCCTCCTTCTATGGTATCTTTATAAAATCATTAATTATATTAAACACTGTACAGAAAGATCATCTGATTGGTTAATCCATGAGGTGACGCGTCAATTTTTCTTCTGAACATGTACTACTTGCACAGATAACACAACACTCTTTTGAATTTTAATGAAACCGAATAGAATAAATTTATGTTTATTTTTGGACCTTAAATAATAATTAATCATACGGAGAAAATTCGAAAACACAAAGTTGTTCGTTCGATTACTGGAACGAACTAACTTTATTTTGGGTTAGTTTGTCATAACTGTGTTGTACCAACTATCCAAGTTTTTTTTTCTATCGACAATGAAAATGGCGTTAATGAAAACGAAAAAAGACCACTATTAATTATTAAGATTCTTGATTAGTTTCTATTCCATGCATGATGAGGAGGCTGAATGGAAAGGAAACCATTTATGTATGATAGGAATTCTATATATTAAAATAGCTAAAATAAAAATACTGCCTTCGTCATGTCATATGAATTCGACTCTTTTTTTCAATAGTAGAAAACAGGATTAATAATTATAAATTAGACAATTGAATACTTCAAAATCATAATAAAATCCATATTGAATAACGAGATGGGAATTTAATCTCGGGAAACTTGACATAGTTTAAAAAATATATATTATTATCACATGCATTCTCCTCTTCATTTCCTCCAAAACAATCAAAGTCTAACTTAATTCACTTGAATCAAAAACTTTTTAAAGAACGTGGCTGACCTCTTTTTGAGATACTCGATTCAGTTTAAATATTGTTTATATAAATCAAGTTTTTTTAGGAACAAAGTATTCAGAATTCCGATTATAATTAATTTTTGGGGTCGTCGTTATTACTTATTAAGTACAGTGTTTATCAAAGCCCGACCCCATTGAAATCACTTTTTTTGACTTAATTGTTGCTACACTTAAAAAAATCATGTGATTTATATTTTTGATTATACTCATTGTATTTGGTAATTAAAAACTCTTGGTCAATTTATTTTTCAGCTTTATGAAAAAAGATTACCTTTGGGGGTTTTTTTGAAATGTACTCGAAAAATGGCCCTAAATGAATTGAGTTTAGGCAGGCATGAATCGTTTGAAATGAATGCAAATTTTGACCTTTTCTTTTTTTGAGGTTTTGTTGAATGACATTTCGAGATCTTCGGATAATCTGCAAACGCATAGATTTTTAATTGGTTATGATTTTCATAAAGATATTAATCAACAGGATGAATAGTCAAATCATGTTTTTTAAAAAAAATTGAAGGTAAAGAAACGCTTATGTTTATTTATAGACGCAGAACATAATTAGTTCGACATAATTTCAACTTTACGTTTTCATTCGCGTCAAAGAATATCGTGTTACATTACCCTTTTATTAAAAGTTGATCAGATCATCTGATCGCATCAACTTGTTTGTTTTTAACCAATTGAATGATTATCATTTAAAAATAATTCTCTTTTTTTATTTTATTAAGTAATCAAACAAATAAATTAGACTGGTCTAGTGAATAAATAAATATTTGACGGATGTGTGTCAATTAGTTTATTTTTTCAACAAAGACAATCCAGTCATCTCTTTTGGAATTTTCAAACCCATAATATCTAAAATAGTAGGAGAAACATCACAGAGAGCCCCTTTAGCTGATTCCATAAATGAATAACCATTCGATGTCATTACAAAAGGAACTAAAAAAGGATTATATTAATATACTATTTATATCTTTTTATTTTCGGAAAAAAAATTTTATATTTACCAGGATTACAAGTATGAGCAGTATGAGGGTTTCCTTTTTCATCTTGCATCTGTTCAGCATTTCCATGATCGGAAGTAACAAATAGAATGTAACCATTTGCTTTACATGCCTCGTAAATGATTCCAATAGCTTTATCTGTTGTTTCAATGGCCTTCACAGCAGCATCATATATTCCAGTATGTCCAACCATGTCAGGATTAGCAAAATTATTCATAATGAATGGATATTTGCCACTTGCTATTTCCTCTGCTACTTTTTCTGCTACTTCAATGGCTGACATTTCTGGCTTAAGATCATATGTAGCTACTTTAGGGGATGAGATTAAATCACGATGTTCGTTTTCAAACTGTTTTTCTACGCCCCCATTGAAAAAAAATGTAACATGTGCGTACTTTTCCGTTTCTAATAAAATTTAAATGTGAGATACAAAATCAACATATGCATTTAACACTTGCATTTAAAAGTGGTATAAACGTAATATATTCACCTGCAACATGACATTGAGGAATCTTATTTTTCGCAAGCCATTCAGCCAAGACATTGTCCATGGTTTGAGGAGGAAATGCCACCGGGAAGGGAAATTCGGTTTTATATCTTGTCATGCATGTGATATGCTATTAAAAAAATGTATTTAATACAATTTATAAAGATTATTGTCATAAGAAGAAATTTATAAACCTAACTAGATTATTGGGAACCTCTGTTTCAAATGGAGGTGGTGAAACACCAAATGTTTGAACGATCTGACGCATTCGATCGGCACGGAAATCAAAAAAGAAAAGGGTGTCATTTTCTGCATGCAATAACGAGCTTATAATGATTAAAGTAATAAAATATATTGAAATTCAATAATTTGGGATTACGTTAAGGGAAAAAATATACCTTTAATTACACCCTCTTCATTTACTATGATGGGTTTCAAGAATTCATCAGTCTCGTCTTTTGAAAATCGTTCCCGAATTTCCTATAAAGTTCAAAGCCCTCAAATATTAAAAACTGTTTGACGCAATTGTCAATAAATATTATAACACACTTGCTTACATTTATGGGATCCTGGGATTTTTCACCGACACCTTGTGTCAAAGCTTCAAAAGCAATCTTAATTCTTTCCCATCTCTTGTCTCTATCCATAGCATAATATCTTCCAATAATAGTAGCAATTTGTCCGTAATTGAGATCGTCAATGGCCTTTTGTAATTGTTCAAGATACTTATCTGAAGAACGAGGATTTGTATCACGACCATCTCCAAAGAAATGTACATATGCATTTGGAACACCATGATTTTTCGCGGTTTCCAAAAGATGAAACAAATGATTGATATGACTATGTACTCCTCCATCCGAGACCTGATTAAAATAAATTAACTTAATATCCATAAAGAATTACGAATATCAACAATGTCATGATAAAAATTCTTACCAAACCAAGAAAATGGATTCTTCCATTCGTTTGTTTGGCTCGATCGAAACATTTCACAATATTTTCGTTCTCATTAAATTTCTTGTTTTTCACGTCCAAATCAATTCTGACAATATCCTATATTTCTTATTAACAATCAATCTTAATTCAAGATAGAGTGCAAAGAATGTAACATAACGTACCTGATATACAACACGTCCGGCACCAATATTCAAGTGTCCAACTTCAGAGTTACCCATCAGCCCTTCAGGTAATCCAACCGCAAGACCATGAGCTTCCAAAGTAGTGTATTGATATTCTCTCTTAAACTTATCCATTATAGGTGTATCAGCATTACGAATAGCGTCACCGGCAGAATCTTCTTTACGAGAAATACCCCAACCATCAAGACAAATAAGACAAGCTTTTTCTTTCATTATTAATACGACTTAAAATAAAAATTTTATGGGTTTAACAATTGAGACAAGTGTAAGGAGAGATATGGATAATAAAAACGAATATCTTTTGATCTAATTTTATTTAGGACGGATTAGATAATATAAGAACATATAAAATTAAAAAATGTTACCCTATTATGGTATAATGGCTAACTTATATTGCATGTTGTCAAAACTTCCCCATTTGGGATGTTCAGTTAATAATCAATTAGATTATCAAACTTTTTTTTTGATTTTTATTTTTTCAAAATGTTTTGTACGAAGTTAAACATTTCAACTTCTTTTAAATGTAATAATTATTTTAGGTGTGTACTTTTTGTTTAAAATATGACTTGCAATAAATACTACGCTGAAATATTTGTCTTAATCTTTTCTTTTGATTTTATAGGTATCATCGATTTTCAAGTTTAGTTCAAAGAAAACACCCAAATTTCACAAAATATCGATCAACAAACCCTAATAAATCATCGGATTCACAATCTACCATAAAGAATGTTGATACTTTCAAGGTTAGGCTTAGTATAAATTTAGCACTTTTGACAATTATTAAATTTTTTTTACTTATAAACATTGTAGGACTTGGGAATAAGAGAAGCAATATGTAAAGCACTACAACAAAATTTCAATATAACAAAACCAACACCATGTCAACAACAATCAATCCCTCAAATTATATCTGGAAATGATGTATTTATTCGAGATTTAACTGGATCTGGGAAAACATTTGGAATAGTTTTAGCATTACTTAGTAAAACACGTACATTACCCAAAACATTATCTTCTCGTCCATCTGTATCATTGATGACAACAAGTTTATTCGTAGTTCCAAGCAGGGAATTGGCATTTCAAATAGAATCTTGGATTCATATGTTATTACGAGATACAAAGTTACCTATGAAATCAATAATTCAAGTTGCGGTCAGAACTTTTCCGGAAATTGAAGCTGAACAAGTGAAAAATATTAAAGAAACACCTCCAAATATACTTGTGGGTACAGCTACAAGACTATTGGATTTAGTTGAAGCACACGGATTAAAGTTTCGCGGATTGAATACTTTGGCATTGGACGAAGCTGATCATTTGATCAAATTGCCTGGAAAACACGCAATAATGAAAAAAATTATAAATCGAGAAATACATCCCAAACCAACCGAATTATTAGCTAGGCATATTTTAAGTGAATTAAATGACGTTGATTCAAGAGATAATAGAAGTCCTGAGATGGTTCACTACAAGAAAAAACCACAATTGATTGTGAGTTCAGCTACATTAAATAGAGCGTTAAGATATTATTTCAAAGATAATCAACTCGCACCGGATCCGATACTTGTTGACATGAGTAAAGGGACATTTTCTCCTCCAACAATTTCTCATCATTGTCTTACCGTTACATCAAATAATATCAGAAATTTAGCGACTTCTATTTCAGTTATAGGTGAAGAGGAAAGAATTCAAGAATTCGAAGATGATGATGATCGAATGATTGATAGCATAGTAGGAGCTATTGAACTTGAACAACATAAAATACAGACCGGAATTATTTTCGTCAATCATAAAACCAATGTCCCAAAACTTGTAAATAAATTTAGAGAATATGGAGTTCCTGCAAAAGATTTAAGTTCCTCTTATATTCCAACTAATAGCGAACAAGGTTATTCCTATAATTCACTTAGCACGATTGAAACTGATTTAAATGATTTTACGGCTAAACCTACATTTTCACCCAAGACGACGATATATGTAGCACAAGAATACACGTCACGTGGAATTGATATTCCTCATATTTCTCATGTATTTATTCTGGGAGTGCCAAGTTCATCTGCCGAATACTTACACATGTCCGGGAGAACCGGTAGAATGGGTAGAGATGGTAAAGTAATAAGTTTTATTAAAGATGGTCAAAAAAGAATTATGATGAATTATATTACTCTGTTAGATTTAAATATTGACAAATATGAACATGTAAATTAAAATGAACAATTAAAATTTATTATTTCACATAATAAAATTCTGATAGATCAATTTATTTAATTTAAATATAAAAGTTGTAATAGAGATTCCTTTTCCTTCGTACAACTACTTTAATGGTGTTAGATTTATTCTTTATTAATTCTGATCATTGAAATAACCGGAACTATAGATGATGTTACTGCCTGCCTAAAATTTATTTTCTATATTCCTTGTTGAAACCATTTACACAGTTATGCAAATGTACTTATACATACTAGGTATTAAACTTTGTATATATTTATTATGCGTTCCTAGTAAAGTTTGCGGTATATTTAATTACTGTATATAAACTATATAATACTGTATACCATTATCACATAATATTAATCGTTACATTTTTGCATTTAATAAATTTAGATCGAAAATTAATTGATTCATTATTTTTACGTTTTAAAGGAATTGTAATATTGTTTAATTCAAAGAGTATTTCTTGATGTTGAAGATTTTTTATCGGAATTATCTTGAAAAAAGAAGTTTCAGTTTCTGTATCAACCTTTATTACATCATCAATTTTATTTTCTTTTTGAATATATATTAATTAGTAAAATTTTAACGTATTAAAACATGTCAAATAATATAATAAATACTTTTGATATTTCTGGAAGCGTTAATTTAGCCGTTTCTAATCTTTGTGTTTCATTTTGTGAATGATACCTAAATAATATTAAAAAAAGATTATATAAAATTGTAAAATGATAAAATATATACTTACACATTTAATCCTGCTAAAGATCGATGTAATGTTATATTCATAATAACTTGAGAGTCTAATCCTTCATCATTTAATTTTTGTGCAGTCCCTTCTTATAAAGAATAATTAACAACTTTTATTTGTATAATCAATGCCTGTAATATTACAGATTTCTTTTAAAATTTATCTTGACCTAAATGTTACATAGAATACTAATTTCCATTTTTAATTCTAAGATATATTATTAAATTAATAAAATAAAATAATTAATAATATAATTACAATTAATTTATCAAAAAAAATTTATCTTTAATATCTTTATTACATGAAGAAAAATTTCTTTTCAGCATTTTTTGGTCTTAAATTTAAATATTTTTTAATATCACAACTATCATGAATTGTAATAATATCAAATCTTCTATCATCACATTCTTTAAAATGTTCAGCCATAATATTAAAATAAGATCCTTCTCTTAATACTATATAATATCCAACCCATAAAAAAAAACTCTCTTAAGTAATTTATCTGATGTTTGATTTAACATGTTAGGATATTAAAAATCTTAAACATTTCTTTATTTGTAAAGTATCAGCACCATTATATTTGCTATTATTAATTTCTTCAAGTTTAATCATACTAGTATGTAATGTATCACATACTGCCTTAAATTCAAAATCTTCATGAATATTAAAAGATTCTCCTTCTTTAAATAATTCTTGATAAAATCTATTTATAACACAAATTCCATTATATAATGTGTTTGCTTTGTAATCTTTTTTTGTCTATACAGTCAACCCTTGATATAACGAATTTTATGTCCTGAACTTCAACTTCGCTATAGAGCTATAGTGAATTTTTTAAAGAATTTGATTGGCTAGTTCGTTATAACGAGGGTAAATTTAATATAGTTGTCCAAAAAATTCGTTATATAAAAATTCGCTATAGAGAGGTATGACTGTAGATTTAATAATTATAATAAATTCATATAATAATAATGCAATAACTTTCTTATCATAAAGAATTAGTAAATCTATTTCTAGTTATATATCATTTACAAACAGTAATGGCTATTAGACCAATTGAACTTATAAAAACTCTGTCATTTGGACTATTAGATTTAATAATTTTATAAGTCTAATAGAATTCAATTTTTATTAGACTTATAAGTATAGATTATTTATAAATTCTTCAAATCTGAAAAACCACAATCTTATAATTTTTTTAGTAAAGCGTTTATATATTTCTTTTAATTTGAATGGTTTAAAAGTTTTATAAATTTCAAATATTTTTGCATTATCTAAGTAGCAAATTTTTCATTTAGTTCATCTTGTAATAATAATATTATTCTTTGAATGTAATAATTCTAAAGCTTTTTTAAAACTTTTATTTATATTTTTAAATTATAAAATAAAAATTAATAAAAAGAAAGAAAAATGTAAATTTAGTCATTTAACATAATGTTAATTAATTATATATTATTGATATATTATAAACAAAATATATGGCTGTGTAAATGGTAAGAGATAAAAAGGTTATATTTTGATTAATTGAAATAGTAAAATTTTATTAGAATCAGAAAAATAATTAGCTTATCAGCTGATCATTTATTTAATCCTAGTAAGATTTTACTTATCATATAACTAATATATACTATATTTACTAGCTTATTTGTAAATTATTTTCAATATTTTATAGCTTGTTTTGATCATTGATTAATAATACTACCTTTATTATAAAATAATAAATTTATAACAGCTAAAGTTTAAGAAATCTCTTAAAATATTGATATCTTTCTTATATTATTACCATAAAGATAGCTAATAAAAAAATAATAAAATCATTAATCCATTATAATATCTGTAAATATTTTAGCATTAATATAAAATAATACATCATATCTTATAAATAATCTCTTTTAAAAACATTTATAAACTATAACATTTTTATTTAAATAATATTTTTTATTTAAAAGAATATATAAAGACTATTATTTTAATAGTTCTTTTTTTTTAATCATTAAATTTTCACATTTTATTTAAAATAAATTTTTTAAATTTATATTTTTTATAAGACAATTTCTAATTATATAGTTGCAGCCAAAAGTATTACATTATCTGATCATAAATTTTAAAATTAAAATATCTTATGATTAAAAGTGTAGTATTACAAATAAAGATAGGCACTATAATTAAAAAATGACGTAATTGAATTGCAATTTGTGATGCAATTAAATTTTCTTATGATGTAATTAAGTTGCAACCCAATTAAAATTTGAAAATAATTATGGGAATCATCTTTAATTACAAAACTTAATTAAGAAATCTATTATATTCTATTTTATCAATTTATCCAATCTTTTTTTTTAGGCAAATTATTATTTTCTTTTGCAAAATGTAAAAATAAACAAATTTAGATTTAGTGATACATTTATTTTTATTTTGACCGCTTTTTTAAATAAATATTAATATATTTAATGCAATTATTTTTTTAATCAAAAAATTAATGTAAAAGGATATCTTTAAGCATCTTTTTTTTTTAATTTTATCTTTAAAAAAAAACTAGAATTTTTATTCTATTTGAAGAGAAATATTTAGAACTCTGAACAGATCAAGTTAAATCAGGTGATCTATTAGATAGATCTAAAAAATCTAGGTTAAATTAATAAAATATTGATCTGATCTGATCAACCTTTTGATTTGAACATAAAAATAATATTCAAAAGAAATTTATTAATTAAAATCATTTATTTCAATACTAAGGTCTTTTCAATTATAATATTTGACAAATTAGACTCAAAATTAAACACAAAAATTACTTTTGTAAAAATTATAATAATATTTTAATTTAACAATCCTAATTGTTTCAAAAAAATAATAAAATCATCCTTAAAGAAATTATAAAAATCACTTCTAAAGTAATAATATAATCATTCCTGAAGGAATATTATATTTATGTAAAAAGAAAAAATACATTATCATTTCTTAGAATAATATTTTTTATCATTTATAAGAATAAAATATCATCATATTGAATATTTCAATGAAATTTTGCCAAGAAAACTTTTATACAAAATAGTTTTTTAAAATAAAAAGCCTTTATTGATTTTTGAAGATTATTCTAGTTATCACAAAAAAAAGTTCTCATAATATGTAATAAAAAATTTATACTTTTGAGATGCTACTATATGAAACTTATTTAGCTTTCAGTCATTTATATTAGTTCCTGATTAGAGAATTTGTCGAAGTAGAAGTTAAGTAACTCCCAAAGAAGAAGGGGTGAAGCAGGAGAAGTTAATATATACCAAGTATCTGACATCATCCTAGACAGAGAAACTGTCAAAATAATAGCTCAGTGAATTACCCAGGATAATCTTAGTGAAAAAAATGTAGTATTTATAGCTAAAGCATTAGCTGAATCTGCCTCTAATATTAGCGCTAGTTCATCCTGAATCTCTAGGCTTCAAAGTAAGTTGTGAAATCTTGAAGCTCCAGAAAAATTGTCTCAGCTACATTGATTTCAAAGATAACCTGTTCATCTAATAAAATTCAAAAGGAGCATAGAGAGCAACATGAAAATAAAAGGATTGATTTTCCTGACTACTTCTCATTAGAATCAGTTAAGAAAAGATTGGATGTGTATGATGTATCCAATATTTCTGACTTACAAGCCCTCGCTGATGTAATGATAATGCTTTGCATTTGTCTTGCTGAAATTAAAAACTTACATATTTCTAATGGAAGTGTAACTGGATATTCAAAAAACTGAAATCAGCAGGATAATTCTCGGGTATTTAGATTGTTAGAAAGAAATAAAAAGTGGGCTAAGCTCCTTCTTACTTGGATTCAGAATGCAATTTCTTCTGGACGGTTGAGGGATCCAGAAGTACGAGGAGTTAAATGGTTTAATACATTTCTGAAAAAGATAAATTTCTTTCTAAAACTGGTAAACCACTCATCCCTAGCTATTTGCGCAAATTAGAAGCAGTATTTGAGGTTATTTCAAATGGTGTAAAAAATTTATCCAAGCCCTTTAACATTTACAAGACAATTATGCCTCCCTGACGCAAAACTATACTATAGTCAATTTTTAAAAAAAAAGGAAAACTATATAAACAGGCAAAGATATTCAAGCTCTTTGATAAAAACTAATTATATATATGGGTTAAATATCATTTATTAATTATTTTTGTTTGAAGCAAGATATAGCATATATAATATATCACGAAAATGATAACTGAACAAAAATATTCATCTAATAGTACAGATATTGAGCAGGAAGTTATCAGATATACAAAGAAAATAGTTGAATTACTTGGACCTGAACAAGATGCAAATATGTATAGTGCGCTTTCCGTTGAAAATAGAATACTAAAAAAACAATTGAAAAATTATCATTTCCAATCTAACACTTTAGAAAGGAGGGTAAAAAGATTGGAGAAAGATGTGAGATTCTTAAAAGACGAATTAAAAAATCTAGACGAATGTGTGGATAGAAAAACTGTGATCAACTTAATACAAGAAATAGCTTTCTCGCCAAAGATCAAAAAATGTAAGGGTTCCTCCTATTCATCTGAGTCTTCCAAAGATTCTGATTCAGTTGAGATAATTGAGATAAGAGAAAAAAAGCTGTCCCTTATAAGCAACGAAGAAGGATGCGACTAAAAAAGGTTAAGTTAATAGTAGTGTGAAGTAATGAATTATATTTTCTGATTAAAATATATTCTAACTATAAAAACAATATATACTACTAATTTGCTGAAACTTCTTCCACCTGAATTAACTAAAAGAATGACTCTCATGCATTTTCAAGTTAAAAATTTGGTTTAAGGTAAATATAAGATAAAGGAATTTTTTTTGAAGCTGAAAAAGTGCAACATGAGTATAGGCTATTCCAAAGAACATCTTAAATAGCTATTTCTCAAAGAATTATCATCTGAGAATCAGTTAAAAGTTTGTATGAATGCTTTACAAGTGTTTGGATTATATGACATAGTGGAAAAGCTTAGTTAGGAAAAGTGATTGCATAATTTTTTCGCTGATTAAATATAAAATATAAAATATAATACTTAAAATTGCTTATATAGAATATAAAGTTTGGCATTTTCAAGGAGATGTTGATATTAATCTAAAAAGTCGTCATGAAGCAATGAAAGCAGGATGTAGATATTATACAGTCAAGGCATTGATAGACACATCATCTAGAGTAAATTCTATTAGAAGAAGTTTGGTCGATAAGCTCAAAATAGAGTATACTAAATATAAAGAAAAAAATAGGTTGGAATATCTGGATTTATTTTTCCAATACGAGGGAAAAGATAGACTAGTATCTACTAATAGTGATGATGTTTTTAATGATTTTGAGGTTACTGAAAAGTCGAAAGTGGACCTTGTATTAGGATTATCATAGTTATAGCTTCATGAAGCAAAAATAGATATGAGAAAATAAGGATTAACAATTTATGGTAATTTTGTACCATTTTGCGAGAAGACAGATTCATCTGAGTCCAAAGAAACCAATGGTTCTAAATATATGGGTCTGGAGCAATGATTGCATAATTATATTTTTCGTTTAAAAATACAACATATAATACAGATTATTTATAATGCATACAAGTGATTTTAATATAGCAGAAATATTAGAACAGGTTTTATATTTCCTAGCAGTAGATAAATCTCTCTACCCCACTTTATTCATATCCTGCTTGTGGTATAGATGCGATGCTTTCATTTTATGAAAACGCATCGAGCTAAAGAGGAGTAATGCACAAAAAAATTTATGAAAATAATACGTGAGAAGCAGAAGCTAGTTTATTGCTCAATTGTAAATCATCTAGAAATTCCAGATTACCATCTTTCAGATAAAAATTTAAAAGTATTATAAACCTGTTTCCAAATATAATTTATTTAAATTTACAATATAGTGTAAGATTTAGTGATAAAACATTAAACCGAATAGCAGAATTATATTCCAATCTGAAGTATCTCAACTTGGGAAGGTATGATGGTGATAGATTAATAACTGATAAAGGTCTATATGCAATTGCAAATTTATGCCATAAATTAGAATATCTGAATATCTCTAATTGCAAAGAATTTTCTGAAATAGTGATTTAAATGTTATTTATTCTTGTTTGAGGATCCAAGAGTTCGTTATTTACAGATGTAAAATATCCAATCAACCATCAAGGAAATTGAATTATATCTTAAAATAAAATATATTAATCCAGGTACCGCTACCTGATATTTGGAAAAAATTGGCTGAAGTCAGATGTATTTTTCTAGCTCTTCTTCTAGAGATTCCAATTTATCTGAAATTCCAAATACTGCATCGGACATCAGAATCTACTATAGACAGCATTTTGATCGGCATAGTCTACATAGGCAAATCACTTGTTCTAGTTATAGGCACTAACCGGTTAATTATTTTTTTTGATTAAAGATACAGAATATATTATTTATGACGCATTTAAGCATTTTTATTATACCAGAACTATTAGAGTGGATTCTATATTTTCTAGCAGTAGATAAGACACTGTATTCCACTCTATTTGTATTCTGAATGTGATACAGATGCAGTGCTTTTATTTTATGGAAATACATTAAGCTAAAAGAAAATGACTTGAGATGTGAGCACCATTTTCCAGATAGATGTATTTATCATGAGAAAGATCGTATTCAATTGGAAAGATTTGTAAAAATATTATATGAAAAATATAAGTCATCTTATGTCTCGAATACAACTTATCTAGAAATTACCTATATCATTCACTTTTAGATAAAAAATAAAAAGTATTGTAGATACATTTCCAAATATAATTCATTTAGATTTCAAAGATAATATAGGTTTTAGCGATAAATTACTATTTGTAATAGCGGTATCATATCCTAATTTAAGATATCTTAATTTGTGGGATGCTCAAATAACTGATAAATGTTTATATGCAATCACACGATCATGTTGTAAATTAGAATATCTAAATATTTTTTACTGTAGAAATATTAGCGATAAATCTTTGTTTGAAATCGCAGGAAATTATCATGATTTGCAAGAGTTTTATTTTATCGAAGCACATCGATCACTGATAAATCTATAAGTTGCATCATAAACTTATGCCCAAATTTACGAAAACTTGATATTGCATTTAGTCGTGAAGATGTTAAAGATGCTAGTACTTTAATGCGAAGATGCTTTAATATAGAGTATCTTAATTTTAGTGGTGTTATGGCTTTATGGGACGATAGATTGATTATAGCCATTATCAAAGATCTCCAAATTTGAAATATATAGAAATCAGTGGTAATGATATTAATGATAAGGTTACTGAAACGCTGGCTCATACTTGTCATAAATTGGAATATCTCGATCTAAGTTGCTATTCTTTTATCAGTAAATCATTAATTTGTAATATTATACGTTTCTGCCTAAGACTCCAGCATCTCGAACTTGAATACTGTAATATTACCAGTACAACTATCAGAGAAATTGCTCGCTCATGTTTCAATTTAAAATTTCTAGATTTGGATGGATGTGAAAATATTAGCAAAAAAGCTATGCATCAACTAAATCCAAATATTCATATCGAAAATTTTGATGAAGTGTACTGCTCTAATTCAGAATCTTCAAGCTTTGGCTCTGAAACTGAATCAGATAATGAAGATGTCTATAGTAATAATATGTCTCTTCCTATATTTATAGGTACGACTGATACTACAAATAATTTTATTTCTGAATTTTTTACTAGGAGCAGTGATCATTATCTCAGAAGAATTTGCTAATCTATGCACAGTGTCTGTCTCTTCATTTTTTTTCAAGATTTTGAATTCATTCTTCTAAAGTCAAGATTATGGTTCGTAAAAAGAATGAAAGACATATTCAATCTATATCATCAGTAACTTTAACATCAGCCAATGAGATTCAGCCCAAAAGTGTAATAGTAACAGATACAGAATTGCGAGAACTTATTAATCAAGGTCTAGTAGTTGATGAAGTTTACGAAGTATTATCATATGATCAAAAAAATATGCCTTGGATTGATAACTTTATTAATCTTTCGATTAATCTCAAAACCAATGCGATAATCTAAAAGAAAAAGCATATCACTCCTTAATGAGAGAACTCTTTAATATGAAGGCATTTCGTGATGTATCCAGTCAAGATGGACTCGTCTCCAAAGCAGAATATTATAGAAATAAAATAGATACTCACATAACTGATTTCATTATTCTAATAGGACAAGGTAAAAAAGAATGGTTAAGCCATAGATCAGTTGCGATATTACATCAACTGACAACTACGGAAATAGTGGTAAATTTACTTAATGATGCCGAAAATAAAGGTCCTGAAATGTGTGGACAAATAATCATTTTCTAAAAATCTATACCGCAGAATATGTTATGCGCAGTATACGTCATCCAGTAGATCCTGCTTCTATTGGTTGGAAGTGAGAAGAGTCTTCACGATTATCATATGACACAGCATGTATCAGCGGGTACGTCTCAAACTTTGCCTCAAAGAAAAAAAGCTAGAATAGAGAAATATCGTTCAAAAAAATAATCATCTACAGTCATAAAATGGATCATATATCCAGGGCTAGTCCCGCACCATGTAATTTATTTTAGATTAATGTATTGCAAATAAAAAAAGTTTAGGGTACTGAGTGACCCGCGAAATGTTTTCTCGTGGTGATTGGTAACAATCTTTTAGACTGTACATACTAATTTTTTTATTACTCGAGCGTATATGTGTGTTAATACAGGGTAATTTAGGAAATCTGGATCGGCAAATTATTGGGCAATAAAATTGCTAGCAAAAATCCCGGGACTATTATTCTCAAACTTTCTCGCATATTCTCAAAATTATTACGTATATTATTATTATAAAAGGGCCCCTTGATGATCCTTACATATGGATAGCATTAAATTCTTTATTGTTAAATTAAGGAGAGGTGGTTGATCAGATTTTCATGTTGCGAAAATTAATAGTAATGAATCGAAATATATTTTTTTTTACCTCAGTTGCTAATCTTCCGAATTTATGCCGTAGATTCGAAATTACTTTATCTTGGAAAAGTTCTCTTGTGGGAAATAATCTTTTACATAATCTGCGTGTTTGGGAGAGATATAGACAGACAAAAATTCTGTAAATATGGGTGGGATAATTTATTTAGAAAATCTAGTGTAATAAAAGAGTGTGGGGATGAGAATCTCGTATTTAGTAATAGTGATAGAAATATATTAACTATAGATATTTTCCTGAAATGTAAGAGAGCGAAGAAATAACTAGATGCTGGGACTCGCATTTAATGGCCTAGGATCCGCGTACTCCCTCCCTCTTTGATAGCATCATATATTTCATCTGCTATCTCTATCCAGAGTTTCGCCCCACATTTGGGTTTGTCTTTTATATTCGGTGATGTAAAAAGTGTTGAAGCATATCATTTGTCGCATTCCGTGATGGTACACAACTTTATGACCTAATCAACAGGCACTTTGCTGTGGCTTCTGTTGGTATATTCTAGCTTTATTGTAAAAACTTTTTTCATTGAAACGCTCAGAAAAAAAAATAATAAAAATAATAAAAAAAAACTGGGTTAGTTTTGATTTAATAAGATTTCATAAGGAAAAAAAACAAAAATGGTGTCTATCACTTCAAGCCGGCCATGTAAAAATGACTCGCTAGATTTAGCTTCCGACAGCTCAAAAGTCTGTCGCAGTCGCCCTCTGTGCTTTACCACCACTTCACAATCTGGTGCGGTGCATGTGCTACCTTTACTCCAAGCCGGCCATTCAAAAAATGACTCGCCAGTTTTGGCTTCCGACAGTTCAAAAGTCTGTCGCAGTCGCCCTTCGTTCTCAACCAAGTTGTGGTTTATAGAGATCATAAAGCATTGACAAAACTGACAGCTTACCTTGAAAAAAATATTTTTGTATGAGCGCACGTTAACTGAAATCACGTATTGGAATTTGGTCATGTACAGTAGTGCAAAATCCTAACCAATCAAATTGCATTTATCACGTGATGAGATACTGATCATCTAATTTATTAGAAAAAACATCTCGCGTCTCGTTAATACAGTATAAACTATAAGTGAAAATACAAATGGTTAAAAACCCAGGTGTACGAAAGCAACGTGAAGAGTCTCTGATAAATTGGATGTGGCTAAGTAGCAACCCTACCCCTCTTTCATTCTTTCGTTATACAGATGCTGTCGATAGATCAAGATCCATAAATAAATATTCCTCTATAATTACGAAAGCAATAAATCGCAACACCAATATAACTATCTCTGATAAGCTTAATAACGTTCTGGACAAATTTAACGTCTGTGAGCTGTATTTATATTTTATACTGTTTATATTCTTTGCTTTAGCTAATTACCTACCATATAATTAGAAGGGAGAATACAAAAATGATTGGGAGGACTGGAAGAAAGAGAGAACGAAGGTATGCATACTATCCTCGTAAAAATTCAGAAAATATTTATTCAATTTACTTCAATATATACAAACAGAGCGTAACTGTGACAAACATAGTCGAAACGAATTTCGATGTACATAATGAATATAATTCTACGTTTAATACTCCAACATTTGGAAAGCGAAATTCGAAAGATTCATCTAAAAAAAGCGCAAGGCGAAAGACTAAAAGAGTGAAATTACCCGACGATGATGAAGAATTGGACGATAATGAAGACTCTAGCGAATCGCAATCAACCGATGAAAATCCAACCAATGGATCAGAGACATCACCACCCAGATCTTCAAATAAAGAAAAGCTTCTTTCTACTCCAAATAAGCGAAATATGCATGATGTGGAGATTGTTCGGTGAGTTCATATATTAATGATGGGCATCTGCAAGTTAATTTGATATTTTTGTCGTATATTAGTTATCTTGACGCAATGGAAAATTGTTTGAAGCACAACCGAATTCTCAGTGATGCACCCCCTGTATGGACTAAACCTCTAGAGGCCTACCTCGACAATGCTTTTAAGGTAAGTTTTCGCGTACTGACATGTTGGACGTTCAAGATGTTCATATCTTTGCTGTCAATTTTACAGAAAGAAAGTGATGAATTTAAGATGTCAATCGTGCAAGAAATCAGAGAAGACAAAGGAAATCACTTTCGCCTGTATTGCGAAAAAATTCTAATGGATTTGTAAGTTTTATTTTGCCATTGTTATTTTTTAGATGGCTAGCACTAAACCTTGCTTCCTACTTCTAGCTATAATTTGGTTGATATCTTTCCCGATATGTCAAGAAGAATTGGGAAACGAAAATACATTGTACAAAATATTTCTTCACTCTTTAAATTTTACGAAACAACCTTTGGAAAAATATGCATCGATTGGATAGAATCGCATTCTCCGTCAGGTAAATTAACAAAATCGACCACCAATTTTGGTATTGTTAAGGTGGATATAAAAGGTAAGCAACAAATGCATATTTGTGATTCCACCATTAGGGCTCCTTAATTAATCCAACCAATCCTGAAAGGGGTCCAGTTACTGGATGATAAAGAAATTCTTCACGTGAAAGTTTCGGGTTGCTAACAAAACGTCATACCACAGATGATACGAAAAAATCATTGCACACAGACATTCTGAATTTGATATCGATTTTACTCGATCATCTTGACCTTTCTGTTGAGGTTGCGACACGGATTAAAGTGTTTAGTTTTCAAGTAATTGGTAGGCATTTTCTATTTATTTGTAAATAATAATTAAACTTACCGATTCTACACTGTATTTGGTTATTAGAATATCGAATCACATTTTATTCTCTCAATATGTTGAATGATGGTTCCTTTCTTGCATCAGAATTAGGTTCCGCTTTATTTCCTTTTTCATTTGACGCTAGAGCAAAGTACAAGCAAATTCTATTTCTTATGGGTATTTTTCACGTAAGTAAAATTATTCATATTTCTTATTATTCTTCGAGTTGCTAACAGAATTTCTGTGATTCTCAGAAAGAAGTTATGAATCAAATTTCATTAATACAAGAACTCGATTTAAAAGTTGACCATTATAAAGGAAAATCAGTTCGAAGTGTCCTAAAGATTCCCATGGCTTTGAAAGAACTTCTACAAAAGAAATTTGAAGATTGAAAATATACCATGTATTAGTTTTTATTTTTTAGAAAGCGTACATATCTGTTTCAATACTAAAAAATCATATATATGAATTGTGCATAATATCAAAATATTAATTACACAGTGAAAAATCTTAAATAAAAAAATTTATTGTATTTCAGAAAATGGTGGTGTGATGTGAATACATTGAAATAAGTAATTGACATTCCGAAATGGAACGCACAAATGATTAAGCATGTGTTGTCAAGTGAAAGACTTTTGCAGTCACAATAATATATTGATTATGTGTACCCAGATCATATAACATATGCTGTAGTAATTCTTAGCTGTGCATAATTATGAATAGTTAGATTCGCCCATATTTTTTAACTTATGTATGCCAGCCTTCTTACAGTTCATATTTGAAAATTTTTTGATTTGACTTTACTGTGCCACAAGTCCTCTCCAGTCGTACTTTCCCATTTATTTAAAAAAGTTGCTTCTTTTTATTTGTAGTAGCGTGATACTCCACATTTCTGTGTTTTCATTTGTTAATGAGGATGCGAAGTTGGGCATCAGAGAACTCCATAGTTGACTTTTTTTACATTGTGAGAAGTTTTTCAAAGGAATGGAAGCCCGTTTTATGGAGAAATATCGAGATCATTTAATCAAATAATAATGGTGGTTTAGCTATAGATCAAGAGAGGTGAAATCTGATTGGTCGACCATCTCGTGATTTATAAAAACTCGCTAGCTCCTGGAGCTCTCCTAGGAACTGGCGGGAACTAATAGAGATCTCATGTGATACAAATTTTATAGTTTAGCCGATAAAAATGAATCTGATATTTATTAGAGTATAATATTGCTAAATCAGCTAAAATCGCTAAAAAACACTATAAATCAATAAATCGTTATAATCTATTATAATCTACTAAAATGCTAATATGGATTTAAATAGTAAAGCCTATTCTAAGCTAATTGATGCATAGAATACTCATGAAGGTTTTGAAGAATATATAAGAATTGTTGATGTTATAAGCCTTTTAACAGAAAGACATGATCACAAAACATCAGAAATGTGGTGTTCTCGTGTTAGTTATCCATTTAAGACACTTCTTGAAAATAATCCAAAATACTTTTTCAAGAATAGATTTATTCATATAACTGAAAGGTTTTATAAAGATAGGAAATTTAAAGCTAGGAGGTGTTCATTTCATATTTATTGCACTGTATGTGACTCTTTAGTAATTATCTGAGAAAATACCATCAAATGTGCAAATGATCACCTGAAGAAATGCATTGCCGAAAGGTATTTCGTATATTCTAAACCTGTACAAAAAAATGTGAAAAAAGGAGGAAGTGTATCAATATTCACTTCTGATGAGATTGAAAAGATTTATCGAACATATTATTTTATATTTAGTAAAGGCTTAGCTAATTATAGTTATACGTATGAATATGAAATTAGAAAAAGACATATAAATCGTTTAATCAATAATGCAAAAGTTATCCAATAGGCTTGGAGAGTTTACAAGTTAAAACCTGAGACATGGCAAACCGAGTTTGGAATATGGTGAGAAATGATAGTATCCCTAACGAGAAGAAGTTTCTAAGTATAACTCCTTGCAAAATAAGAGTTTTTGATGATTGGTATATATACTATAATCAGATGGAATATAATTATAGAGATAGAATTCAAGCTAAAGATATACCTGACATGATCAGCATATTTCTGCATTATATGATCATTATAATCCACAAAGTTGTGCAAAAAAGAAGAGAGATCAGTTATGGAAACGATTAAATAATGTAGCATACATATTTGTTTTTATAGAATTACATCTGACAGATTATAGAATTATTGAATATTCAGATTGGTCTCATATGTTAAAGTGGCTATTAAATTCTGAAGATTACCATATTAATAAATACTATAATAATGGCAATGTAAACTTCGTTAAAAGTTCAGAATATGCATGATATGAGATATGCAAATCACATAGCAGAATGAATCCATGCAATTCGCTAAAAATTAACTATTATAGATCTGGATATTTCACTATTGAGGGAAAACTTAATAGTATAGATTTTTTAGATTTGAAAAATAATTGTAAGTATGTGCAACAAGTTTTTCGAGCTATAGATTCTTTACCAAAATAATATATTACATATTTATTATAATAATACAATAAATTGATTCTTTCTTTTTTTCGAATGAATATGAGAAGAGAGGAATGAAGTTCAATGAAGCAATCATGAGGTTCTTGATTCCTAAATACCATAATTATAGTTTTGAAAATTTTTATGTAACAGTTATCCAACGAGCTTATAAAAATTATAAGAAGAGATCCGTATCTTTGGCAAAATAAGTTTAGGAGATGGTGAGGAATGATAGTACTCCTAATAGGTGAAAGTATTTAAGTATTATTTCTTATGATGAGGTTTATTATTATATTAATGGAAAACTCATAAAATTTAACTAGAAAAGTGATTATTTTAATATGCTATATAATCATACCCTTTATTCTCCTATAACTTGGACAGAAGAGAAAAAAATCAATTATTATACCGATTAGGATAGATGCTCTTTGATCATACTAGAAAAACATTACAACAAAAAGGCTATATATCAAATTGGTATACTATGATAAAATAAAAAAGTCCAGGTAGTACACTTGTAATCAGAATGAAAATGTTGGCGCAACTCAATTTACATATTAATATCTCACCTAACAGAAATTGGTGATATAGAAATAAAGCATCTTGAGAGTGTCTGAACTGGTTTAAAATGATTTCTAATACTATATCTAGTATTATTTTATAAATATAGCAGGAGAAAAACCATCTATAGATTTTTTAAAATACGATCAAAGTGATACATAAATAAAATAGTTCTATATATAGGAATGTATTATATTAGCTTTATATTTGTTTGCGTCTTACATAAAGATGGAAACTGTAATTAATATGTTGTAACTTTTAATGTTGCAACTTACGTTGCAATTAGTTTTAACCTATATATGTTGTAACTTATAATGTTGCAACATATGTTACAACTAATTTTAGCTTATGTTGCAACATTTTGTAAATTTGAAATCAATTGCTGTATCATCTTTAGTCTTACAGCTAATGAATATAGGCATTTTGCGATATCCGTTAAGAGCATAAAGTATAAATAAACATATTTTCAATCCTCATTAAAATATATATGACGAAATAGTGATATACTACCAATCATATGTATAAATGTGACCATCAGCTTGTGCGACAAAATAATTTCACACATTCAGAAATAAATCCCCAAAAAAATATTTTGATTTTTTCTCTTATGATATTCTAGAAAAATAATATATTAACTGATATATATATTTGCTCTGGAGAGATGGATTATTTCAACTATATAAGGTTTATCCATTCTGACTGAAATACATTATATAACATTGCCAGGTTATAGTATTAAGTAGATGGATGAGAAATCTATATATGCATTATCCTAACTCCTTTCTAAAGTCGAGATTTTTAATACATACCCTACATGCCCTTATTCTCAAATACAATATTTTTGGCATAAAAAGCATTGCATATTCTTCTACTTCAATAGAGTGATGTGAATAAGGAAATTATAAATATTAAAAGGGCAGTATAATGAAATTATTACGCCTTTACATTATTTTTTTTACTTTGCTTAGTAAGCTTTATACTAACATTTAACTTTTATTTTATCAAAATATGGAAGAATTCCTTTTAATAATAGAACCCCCAGAATTTTCACATCATTGTTTGTACGAGTAGAGAAAGATGAATAGACAGGCGTTTTTGAAAAGAAGGTGAAGAATTTTAAAAATATTTTGAAGAGAGTTTTAGAGCAGGTTCTCTCAGAGGATGTTAAATGGATTAAGAAGCTTTGAAGTTTTGATACTAAAAAAAATTGGCAAAATGTGTAAGACAATGAATTATTTTATGATAAATATATGGATATGATGATTTGTATTTTTAGGTTTTTTTGGCATGTATATTAATAAATGCATTATATTTGACATGATTTTATCACTTCTACATGGCAGTAACTAGTAATATATGTCTAGTGAACGTGTTTTTTTACTGATCTATTGCTAGCATTTTGATAGTATATAAAAATGAAAACCTAATCTGATCATACAAAATGATATTCAGTTTAATTTATTAAATTAACATTGAGTTTAAGCTAAAAATAACTATATTTTAGATGGAGACTGCATTTGAAGATTTATGTTCACTCACAGGAATGAAAGCTTTGGTAATTGATGCTAAGACATGGTCTGAAGATGCCAATACAAATCTACAGCTTTTAAAACGTGATGTTGGACAGGTCATAAATAATAGTTCTGGTTATGAAAAAACTATGTGAGAAAAAATTAAGACAGAATTAGAAGAAGTTAATATTGAAAGCCTTGGATTTGACCATCCTATATATTCTGGAGTTCTAGATATTAAATCAGAATCTTTCACAAAGATACCTGGATTATTTTGCGATATTTTTAAGGAATCTTTTGAAAAATACAAGTTAGATCATAATAATATAATAATGGATACTTATAGAAAAATTATTCATAATGAGGAATCAAAGATAAATTTGGATGAAGATTTGAATGATGTTAAATTTGAAGAATGGTTAGATAGCTCTGAGAGGCTTCAAGAAATGACAAGACAAATACTAGAATCTTTGTAAGTTCACTTGAGTTTTACTCATTATACTCTGCCTTTTTATATATATTAGCTTACAGTATAAATAATGAAAATGGATGGAATCTTTTATAGGTTTAAAGTTTGAAAGTCACCTAAATATAAAGCCTATACAAAAAAAGGAAACCGATTAATAAAGGGTCATATGTCTGTGAAGTACTTGTGTCATTAATAAATATAGTAATGAAAGAATTGCTTGAAAATCCTGCTATATAGGATATATGGGAGCTTTGCAATAGAAAGGGAGAAAACTCTAAAAAAATTAAAATTTTATTTTCTAAGCTAATTATGATTTTTTTTTATAAAATAAGTCC